CGTTTTTGCGCTCGAAGCGAGCGGCCGCGCGTCGTGGGGTGGACGACACGCACGCTGTCGTCGTGGTCGCCCACGGCACGACGTCGTGGTGGTGGTCCCGCTGGTGGCGTCGCTGCATGAACAGTCGCACCAGCAGCACCACCAAGGACGGTCAAGCTCATGCTAGTTTTGTCGGCCATAAGACTGTCGTTGGCGATGATGGCGGGGTGCTGGCTGGAAGTGTGGTGTTTGACCTGTCAAGCCCGTTCATAGCCCACCCCGAGCAGTACCACGCGACAACGCGCGCCGGCGATGGCATACGTGTAGCTGAGTTCTTCAAACACCTGCGGCTCATCACACTGGATGAGAACTGGCTGCGCTACCACCTCGCCGAGGTGCTGCTCCTGCGTTTACCGTTTCTTATTTTTGTCTTCATGGCAACAGCGATGCTTGTCGCAGGGAGTTCTGCGCGCTGCAATGCGTTCTGGACATTCTGGGCGGAGAAGCCGCCGCCGCCAGTGCATTTGCGTTACATTGGAGAAACACGTCCGTTCTGTGGAGATGCCACAATGCTTACCATCGACGATCTACTGTATGGTCGCTTGGTGCTCTTTGCGGCGCTGAGTGGCGGCTTCTTTGTGGGGCCCCTTGTGTTTCTCGTGCCGGCTGGCGTGCTGTTGTGCTCCTGGTGGGAGCAGCGCCGCTGTCTGCGCATCAACGCGCAGCTCGCACGTGTGGTGCTGGACGACGGCGACAACAACAACAATAACGGCGGCCGCCGCCGCCGCGCTGCTGCTGCTGCTGATGCTGATGCTGATGCTGCTGCGACATCGCAGCTCCGCGGCACCATGGACCTCATCACGCCCCTCCTCGACGGTGCAGCCGCAGAAGAGGGGGGGACGACAGGTAGGGTGCTGCCCACGGAAGCTCTCGTGGCAGACGGAGCAGCAGCAACAGCACTTACAAAGAATGCTGCACTGGGCGGGTTGGCGGGGGTTCAGTTCTTTCTCGCTACGCAACGGAGCGGCCAGGCCGCGAACGCACCGCATGCGATCAGCTGCCGAGCAGCTTCAGCCACAGGGATGAACTCGACGATGCGGCAGCGGGGGCGGCACTGTTACGCCACGTACCTGGCACCGCTTGTCCCATCTCAGTATGAACGCCAATTCAGTAGGGGGCGCCTGCAGCAGCAGCGCGTCAGAGCGTCGAAGGCGCTGCAGCAGCTTGGCTTGCGGATGCGCGCGGCGTGCGGTGTTGCGGTGGAGGTGCTGTCGCTGCTGCTGGGGCTGCTGGCGTGGGTTGGCGCGTGGCGCGCAGGCGTGGCGCTCGCCGATCAGTATGGTATTTGGTCTACGTGAGCACCGTGCACCCATGGGCAAGGTGCGACGTGGAGCCGAAGGGAGAAACGAAGAGAGAGAGAGAGACAGAAGAGGGGTGGGAGAATAAATGAATGTGAAGTGAGATTTTCAGTAGTGGAGGGTAAAGACGGAGGGGAAGTATGTTTGGGACGTGCAGAGGCGAGAAGCCGGGGGGAAGTGTGGGGATCGCCGCTCTCGAACGGAAACGGACGCACGCAGGGAGCTGAAGTGTGTATGCGTGGGAAGGCGCTAGGAGAAAGACATGTGAGCTGAGCCGTGTTGTAGGACTCGGAGGAGCCGGGGCAGAAGACGCTTTGCGCCCCCAGGGGCGTTTCGAATGCGTATATAGTTTCCTTATTTCTCTTTGCGTTGTTCTGTTTTTGTTTTTGTTGTTATTTGTTTTCTGTTGTGTGCTTTTCGTGTTTTCCTGCACCGCGCTTCGTTTCCGCTTTGATTGTGTTGTTGTTATGTTTGCCGGTTATTTTCGTTGGCGG